AAGAATTCCCAAATCACGTGAAAAGCCTCAAGATCATATAAAGTAAAGGAAAGGATGGGAGTACATACGCAAAACGGGACTTGCACCATGTTGGTCATATTTGGATTCGACGGTATGAATACCAAGATGATGTGGCCTTTTGTGTGGCCACAGTCTCCTTTCGTTGTATAGAGGTTGTTTGACCTTGTTTTCGCAACTTAGTCATATTGGTGGGAAGACTTAGAGGAACGCACCTTGTCCGGAGTCCATTGTGTGCATAATCATTTCCAAAGTCGGACCATGGACGTGGTAGATTCCCAGACGTTTCGCCGGCATCGTCAGTGCGTTTTACCATTCGTAGCACTATACTACAATGCGTCAGAGACAAGTGAAGCCGATCCCTTGCCAAACGTGTGCTAAACAGTTATAGTATCTCCCCTTCTGCCCTGGCCTATTCACATTTCCTATATCCTCCTATCACGCCTTCACCGTCACAATTTTTACTTGCTTAATTAAATGTGGTACGGTGTGCCCTTTTTCAGCGGCTCTCATGAGAACCCTCCACCGTCCACACTGGCCTTCTCGCTCCCCTTCATCCTTGCGTTGGGGATTTTGATCAGTCTGCTATATTGTTACGCAATCCTTCTTTCCCTAGGTCTTACCACAGTCTCTCTCTTGCCCCGTAAGATCCGTCTGCCCTCTCCCTGGTTCACATATTCCACTCGACCCCTGCCATCCCATCTGTGCCACCCGAGGCGTTATTGGCCCTACCCTGCGTCTGGGTGACTAATTTAAGGCTAAAGCCTCTGAGTAAGTCTCATGGTCAGGCCTTTGCCACATGGACCACGCCTCTTATAAAAAACTACCGTCAGACCACTAGCTCCCATCGCCGCCGCGTCTACCCTGTTTCTATCTCCAATACCAAGTCTATGGCTTCCCATGCCCTAGTCTCTTGTGTGCCAACCCGCAAGTGTTGTGGTACTGTTTCTTTGGTTAGGTTCAATGTTGAACAACAACGTTTGTGGGTTGGCACACAAGAGACTAGAGCATGGGAAGCCATAGACCTGGTATTAGAGATAGAAACAGGATAGACGCGGCGGTGATGGGAACTAGTGGGCTGACAGTAGCTTTTATAAGAGACGTGGTCCATGTGGCAAAGGCCTGACCATGACACTTAATCAGAGTCTTTAGCCTCGAATTTGTCACCCAGACGCAGGGTAGGGCCAATGACGCCTAAAGTTGGCAGGGGTCGATTGAAATATTTGAATCAGGGAGAGGGCAGACGGATCTTACAGGGTAAGAGAGACTGTAGTAAGACCTAGGGAAGGAGGACTGCGTAACAATATGGCAGACTGATCAATACTCCCAGCACAATGATGAAGGGGAGTGAGAAGGTCAGCGTGGACGGCGGAGGGTTCTCATGAGAGCCGCTAAAAAAGGGCACACCGTACAACATTTAATTAAGCAAGTAAAAAATTGTGACGGTGAAGGCGTGATACGAGGATATAGA